CAATTTTGAAAAATCGAAAGGCGAAGCTAAAAATTATTAAAAATTAGCATTAGCCGATTTTTTTTTCATTATTAGCCAGGATCATTAACTACGATAACCAAACATTTGTTGTAATCTTAATAGTTTTTGTTTGTGTGCATCATCTAAAATGGGTGAATAAAATAATGAAAATATGTTAATTTATAATTTGCCAATATTCAAGTTAATTTCACCAGTGAACATAATTATCACCAACGAAATTAAACAAAAATTACCTTCAGTCTGGCCACTTTCTGCAGAATTTCCACCCAGAGGAACTATTTGAAATAGGGTTAATATAAAATAAACAAATAAAAAAAACCGATCAAATATGATTATTAATGAAAATAACTCACATAGAGTTTTTACTTCAGCAATTACGTTAGCACGTTCCTTTTCTTCCTCTTCAGCAGCAATATTTGCAAGACCACGACGTATATAACTTTGGAAATATGGACCCGTTTTGGATAAATGTGACGTAACTTTACTCTCCATTTCGGGATGTTGTTTTTGGAATTCATATAATTCATAGATACCCTAAGTATAAAATTATAATATATTAGGAATTTTTAAATAAATCTTTTGCACAAATAATTATATTAACCTGTTTTGTTTCTTCTCGCGTTCCGATTTTAAGGAAAATTTGCGTCAATCGTGAATTCATTTCTACTTCATGTGACCCTGAAGAACGGTTGTTGTTAGTTGGTGTGGGAAATCGTGGTGTCATGGGGGAGGCTGGGCTGGCTGGTTCAGAACTATTATATTGAGTCTCATTAATTTGTCCAGGAACTTCAGGTACCGGTGAGCTTCTTGCAAAATTTGAAGGGGTAGTATCATTTCCACCAGACTTTGCGGAGCCAATTGATGATGGACGACTCGGTGAATTATCAAAAGCCATCTAATGAATAAGAAAAAGACATGTTAAAACTTCAAACTTTTTCTATCATAGATAAAATTTAATGGATGGAATTAAAGTCTTGAATTACATTTGTATTAGTTGGTTGCTTTTCTTTTTTACGGCATGCTTCAAGCATATGATGTAAATAAGGATATACATAGCTACGCTGAGGATCTTCGATGAGATCTAGATGATCAAATACATTCTCGCCGAGACCCGTTACTAATTCAACCAGTAAAGTTTTCACGGTACGAAGAGGCATTTCACCCAACGGAACTTTTTCTG